TCAACCCAAACGCAAAGCCAAAGAAACACTTACACAATAAACTCTATTTAATAAAATTACAGGAAATATTATAATGATATTTTTGTTTTGTTTTCTTCTTTCCTGATAGCGTTGACTATTGTGGCCATTAATAGCTATGTTGGTAAGTATGAATTACATACTATCCGTAGATTTCCAATGCGAGTGTGTGAATATTTTTTTTTTTTTTTTTCTTTAGAACCCTACATAACTTCACCAGACACAGACACTAATCGTTACTTGATTTTAATCCGTGCGATTAGTTAACCAGGCTAGACCTGAGTTCTCACAAGAAACACCGACCTAATAATAATAATAATAATAATAATAATAAACGAAACATACACACTGCATACATTGATTACAAAAAAGCATTCGATTCAGTACCACACTCTTGGTTACAACAAGTACTCTCAATATACAAAGTCAGCAACAATACTACACAATTCCTCAATTACATAATGTCATGTTGGAACACTACGTTAACACTTACACTAAACGACACAAAACTTATTACCGACCCAATACAAATTAAAAGAGGAATTTTTCAAGGCGATTCTTTAAGTCCGCTCTGGTTTTGTCTTGCTCTTAATCCGCTTTCATATTTGTTAAACACTACTAACTTTGGGTACAATATTAAACACAACCACGAAATACATCACAACATTACACACCTGTTTTACATGGACGATCTTAAAATATACTCTTCCACATGCATAAAACTTAATCACCTTCTACACATTACCGAAACATTCTCACGTGACATACAAATGGACTTTGGAATCGATAAATGTAAAACACAACACATCACAGCTGGTAAAAGACAACTTTTAGATTATGAGCTAGAACAGGGTAATTTAATAAATTCCATGGACGAGAATGAAACTTATAGGTATCTTGGATTTCAGCAAAACACACACATTAAACATACGAGTATAAAACATACACTTATTACACAATACCTACAAAGAGTACGCAGTATACTTAAAACAAAATTACACGGTAGAAATACAATCAAAGCTATTAACACTTATGCCACACCAGTGCTTACATACTCTTTTGGGATTATACGTTGGACAAATACAGATTTAGAACAAATACAGAGAAACACACGTACACTATTAACAAAACACCATATACATCACCCTCACTCCTCTACTATACGACTTTACCTTCCTCGTTCGGAAGGAGGTAGAGGACTTACAGATATAAAACTATTGCACCAAACACAAATACACAATTTACGACAATACTTTTATAACAAATCAGATACTTCAGTTTTACACAAAACAGTAACATATGCAGATAAATCTTACACACCACTTAACCTACACGAAACTAATATACTCCCACCCACATCCAAACTTACATACATCACAAATAACATACAAATATGGAACCAAAAGCCTTTACATGGACGATTTCCACAAGAGGTTAGCCAGGATTGTGTTGATTCTATAGCAACGCACAGTTGGTTGTCTGAATGTGATGTCTTCCCGGAGACTGAGGGTTTCATGTTAGCAATACAAGACCAGGTCATTAACACACGTAACTATAAAAAACACATACATAAAGACAAAACAGTGACAAATGATTCTTGCCGACTCTGTTCACAAACATCAGAAACAATCCAACATATAATATCGGCATGCACACGACTCGCACAAA